GTAATTGATTTCCTCTCATTTTTCTATATCGATTTAAAAAAAAATCATCAAAATCGGAGCCATAGAAGCCGAGATACTGAACACCGAAGCGCGCGCGCTCTTTGAACGCACGATTTCAATTTCTATAATTCATACCCTCTTCTCGGCTTAACGATATTCATTGAATTTTCATATAAAAAGCACACGTGCGGTCATATTTATAAAAACACATACGGAAAGTTCTTTAAAAATCTAACAAATTAAATTTTTGTTGTTGTTACTACGTATAGTTTTGCAGCAAGCGCTTGTTGACTTTGACACTTTATATTTCGGAACTTATATGACCGATTTGAACGTTCTTTTTTTTCAAGTTACGCGTCTTTCCGAGAACTATTTTAAAGTCAAAATCGCTCCAACAATTATTTAAAAAAAGAAAATTAATATTATAACGATTCTATATGATAGTAAAGAGTCCAAGTATGTGTAAAAAAATCAGCGCCAATTAAAATGCCTAACTTTAACCCCAGCACTGACGCAAAAAAAATAACGACATTTCGCGCTGAATTTTAGTAACAAAATGTCTCATACCCAAACTATCAGACCGACTTCGATCGAGTTTTGGGATTTCGTTTTGTAATCCTTTAAAGTACTTACATCTACATTTATAGTAGAATTGGACAATTTCTTACCTATCAGTTGAACGCTTCAAAATTACCTCGATTTTCATCACTTTCTCACGCTGTTTTGGCTATCTAGCAACAGATTCTGACAGGGTTTTTCTTTTGCAGAAGAGATTAATTAGACTTATGTTCTCATTAGGTCCGTTGGATTCATGTAAGCCAATATTTAAACAAAACAACATATTAACATTCCCTTGCCTATGTATTTATGAGGCAGCTTTATACATTAAAAGAAATTTGCATAAATTCCCAANTTGTTGTTACATTATGCATAGTTTTGCAGCTAACGCTTGTTGACTTTGACACTTGATATCTCGGAACTTATGTGACCGATTTGAACGTTCTTTTTTAAAGTTAAGCGTCTTTCCGAGAACTATTTTGTAGTCATTTGGTATATATTCCAACCCGCAAAACCACTTCACGAAAGTTTATAGTCAAAATTTTTCGAATTTTTAGAATCGCTCCAAAAATTATTTAAAAAAAAATAAAATTAATATTATAACGATTCTATATGATAGTTAACGAATCCAAGTATGTGTAAAAAAATCAGCGCCAATTAAAATGCCTAACTTTAACCCCAGCACTGACGCAAAAAAAATAACGACATTTCGCGCTGAAATTTAGTAACAAAATGTCTCATACCCAAACTATCAGATCGACTTCGATCGAGTTTTGGGATTTCGTTTTGTAATCCTTTAAAGTACTTACATCTACATTTATAGTAGAATTGGACAATTTCTTACCTATCAGTTGAACGCTTCAAAATTACCTCGATTTTCATCACTTTCTCACGCTGTTTTGGCTATCTAGCAACAAAAATATTGAATACGCAGGTCTCAAAACAATTGTGTCTTATAGCAAATTTCATAACAAACAATTTCAGCAGTAATAGTTTTTTCTGTAAACTGCATATTTAAGAAGTTATATTGGAAAATGTTAGGAAAAACACGTGATTTTTGAGTATTTTTGCAGTTTTTAATTTTTTCTGCGAATNAAAAAAAAATAAGTATAAAAGATGCATTTTTTCTGGGGTTCAGGGCTATTCTACGAATTCGTAAATATGCCCATTGTTATTTTTTCATCGAGCTATTGCAAAATTTACAGCGCGCATCAATTTGAAGTTGGACGAGCTTCCCCCACCACCACACCGTCGGCCGCCGGACAGTTTACTTAGCGAATACTTTCTCTTTAAAGGGCTCGTGAGTCGTTAATTTTCCACATTTTTCAATGCAATTAAGGGGAAATCGTAGTCTACGCCGTAAACATTATTTTGCGAAAAATTCAAGTCTTAATATTTATAAACAATTGCGCTACGATTTTTTTAAAAAAATTCTTATCTTGGCTCCTGTTGGTCGTAAAGGGTGGTATTTTTTAAAAAATGTGTATTTTTTGCAAGCTATCCATTGTATCTATTTTCAGTGAGGTAGCATAAATAGCAACAATTTTATTCAAATTTATAAGCTAGAAAGTTTTTGTTTATATTCGGATCACAAACCTCTTTTGTCGATATTCGGGTCTAAGAAAGGTATTCCACAATTCGCAGCTAATGGGTTGCAACGTTGGGCACATATTTTGTCAGCATTTGATTATGACATTCATTACATAAATTCAAATAACAATAGTGCAGATTATTTTTCGAAACATCCAGCTGATAGCGAAAATTCAGATTATAATTATTCAAAACAAAATTATGTATTTAGTGATTTACAAATAGACATGAATGAAATATGTTATTTAAATTTCTTGAAAGAATCAAGTTTTCCATTAAATTTTAAACAAATTAAAAATGAAACGTCCAAAGATATAATATTAAGTAAAGTCATATTTTTTACGTAATGGATGGCCAAACAAATGCCCAACTTCAGATTTAGAACCTTTCTACACCAAGAAAAATGAATTATCAATTGAACAAAATGTTTGATGTGGGGATATAGACTGGTAATTCCACAAAACTTTAGACAAAATGTTTTTAATGAATTACACTCAGCTCATATGGGGATGGTAAAAATGAGATCTCTAGCGCGATCACACGTGTGGTGGCCTTCAATCGATAAGCAAATCGAACAAATTTCTTAAAATTGTAATACTTGCGCAAAATTTGCCGTTTCACCTAAAAAAACTCCACTGGTTGTGTGGGAGTGGCCAAAAGAAGTATGGACGCGAATTCATGCAGACTTTTTCGGACCGTGTTAGTGGTTTGAAGTAAATAATATAACTAGTAGTGTTACAATTAAGATTTTTCGCGATATTTTTGCAAGGTTTGGTTTGGCAAAAAAAATATTTACGGACAATGGCCCGGCCTTCACTTCCACCGAATTTAAAGATTTTGTTGCAAAAAGTGGTATTGAACATGTAACTGGAGCACCATTTAACCCGGAGACAAACGGACAGGCGAAAACCGGAGTAAAAATTATGAAAAAAGCTATTCTGAAAGGTAAAAGTGACGGTTGCAATGATATCAATTTAATAATAAATCGTTTTTTATTTCAATATCGGAACAACCCGCATACAACTACAGGAGAATCACCTGCAAAACTTCTTATGGGCAGAACTTTGCGTTCAAAATTTGATTTAATGCTACTTTCCGTTCAACATGTCACACAAAAACAATCGAGCCAAAAAAAAATTATAGAGGTAAACATAATAGATATTTTGAGATACATGACTTGGTATGGGTACGAGATTACAGATCTGGTAATCCAAAGTGGTGTTCAGGGTACATTAAACAAAATATTGGTAGGAAAACTTATATTGTAGCTATTGAGGGAGGAATTGTCTGGAAAAGACATGTGAACCAATTAAGAAAAAATAAAAATGATCAGTCATTGAAACAATCTCTTCCGGTTATTCTCCCCTCTACACATGTAGATAATAATGTAGTAGACTTAAGTGCCAGTGATAGTGTTGTGCAGTTACATTCACCAAGTTCTAGTACTAGCGATAAGGAATATAGTTTAAGGAGACGTAGCTTGATTAAAGCACCAGATAGACTGCAAATAGTGTAAATATTATGTATATATTTTTTTGTTGTTAATATTATTTTTTTTCTTCCGGTTTACAAAGAATAAAGGAGGGAGGTGTTATGTATGATGAAAACACGCCGTTATTCTCAACTAGCATAAGAACCACCGTTTAGTTTGAACACTAAGTGCTGGACACATTAATTGAAACTGCTGGTTGGTTATGAGTTATGAGTAACACCGTCAGTGGAAGACATTAAGTGCTGGCCGTACCGACGGACCCAGAAAGTTGGCTGTGAATAACACCGCTTCCAGGAGAAATCTGTCACCCATCGCACTACCGTGTGCCTCGAATAGACTTTGCTTCCTTTTAACCGAAATATTCCTATTCCTGATTGCTGTTTGCTTACATATTTATTGCTGTGTACTGTGCTGCTACGCTTTCTCCTTCGTTGATTTTTACTCCGCTTAATTTCCGTTGCTTGTTAGAAACCGCCGACTAAATTTATTTGTAGAGTTAGAGTGGTCCATAATTACTGTTTTTTTTATATTTACCGAATATATTATTTATCACTTACCGATTTTTAATTTTTAGATTGTTTATTAGTAAATAAACCAAATTTCTAATATTGGATTTATTTTCAGCACCGATTCTGTGTCTCGCATGCCGATATTTAAACTTACGTTTAAATGTTGTATTTATTTTGAGTACCGAATAAACCGAGTAGTCAATAATAAATAAATTGATTTAATCCCGTTTATTTCTAGAACCGTTGGGGATTACTTTAAATTTGTTTATAATAATAATAAATATAACTAATTTTACTTTTGATTGTTTCAATGTCTGTAGCCCTTAGTAATATAAATAAATCTGGTAAATATACTTCCCGTTGTATTCATTTCAAACGCGGTTAAGATTGATAAAATGCCGATCAGTAAAAAAGTCTTAATCTCTTTTTGCGATCTATACTGATAATTCCGTTCATTTAAAAAGTAAAATAACACTACACACACAGAGAGAGAGGTCTACTTTTGGTTATAGATAAAGTAAGAGAAATATAAAAGATCCCTGGAATTAAACTCAGCAACCTCAAAAACGTATGGATATGTAGGTTTACCCTGTTGGTAATTGATCCTCTACATTTGACCTTGAATTGGCATTAACCCAGACCTGATGGGGTTAAACGGACACTGGATTCAAATTCAGCGACCACAAAAACATGTAGATACCATAGTCTTGTCTTTCGGACCTGCCATTTTTTTGTTTGTGGGGCTGTGTTATTTTTAAGTAATGATTTTTTTCGATATAATTATGTTCTCTACAAATAAACAGCGAAGTAACGGGTGGTAACCTGTTTTATTTTTAAATAAACACAATATATTTGCTTATGCATTTATTGAAATAACAAAATCTTACAAAATATCCTTTCATTGACTCTTCTGCTGGCCTTTCCTTTCACGTGAAATTTGAGGCAGGAATATCTTTTGCAAGTTAATTCCGGGCTGTTCAATTATTAGCGCAAAAATAAGTGCAATTATTATTGACAATGGTCCGTCAATAAACAAGATATATTTAATCTGAAAGATAAAGGTTCTTTAATTTAATTTCACTAGTAAAAAGTTAAATATATAAATTTAGTTAAATTTATTTGTATTACCTACCAATTTAATTTGTCCAAATTCCATTAGTGAATAAGTACCAACTCCTTTAGGAAACAAAACAACAAACTGAAATACGTATGCGGAAAATGACAAATTACTCATCAGCACAACATATTTATTTTCACATATACGTTTAATAACTCCTAAAAAAATTGCATTAAATAAATTATATTAAATTTAAAAGAAATAAATGAAATATAGATTTTTACGACAACTAGCTATCATACACACTACTTTGCAAAGCATTTCGAATCCCAGAAAGAAATTTACAAAAAAGTTAAATCTAATCATTTCCAAACACGTGCTTATAAGGACTTCTATTCTTATTTTTTTTGCAACTATTAATGAATAAGCAAACAAGTAGTCCTATTTAAAATGTAGATAATAGTGACCATATCCCGTTATACAAATAACAGAAAAATTAGTTTCTTATGAAATTAGTCCATTTGTTGTCTATTTTACTAAGGTCTAGTATGACGTCGCTAACACTAATTAGTAAGGCATTGTCATTAACCGTACATTCCAGGGTAGTACTTGCTTTTCATCTTACAGAGCCTTCATAAATGTATACAAGCCACGTCACCGTTGAGCTTAGGCAACCAACAATGCACGACTGGTACTGGTAACGAAAATTGCCTAAATTTTGGCGTCACCAATATTTATGATTCGTTTCCAGTGAACAATGATAAACCGTTACGTCTACGCTCGAGATAATGCGATCGCTGATTTATTTGTTAGTGTCCATGAGCTTTTCGTAAAGAAATTTAAATGTTTAGATAATCTGTAGTGCTTATATTTATTTAAAAAGGCCGCAATAAATGATTTGCAGGAATTGGCGATACTATTAATTATTATTTCTGGACATAAAATTCCTTAACTTCCAGGGCGGGCCTCTTTCACTTTTCTTAAACGAATTATAAAAACTTCACATTTTTTTATAATTGTATAACAATTATTTGCTAATGAGTATTTATTATGATAATAATATTTAATAACTAACGAGACGCAAGATTGATGTGATCTTCATTGAATTTCTAACTTGCCTATCAGGAATATCATATTTTCTTCAGTTATTAATTATTGTAAAATGTCAATGCAGTTATGATAATAACATAACTTACTGATTGATAAACAAATTAATTAACAAATAAAATGAAACAAAAAAAAAGATATTTACACTTCTAGAAACAACTTGCCTATTTACTGTGAAAAGTCACGAGCTGACTTTCATGCAGATATTTGACTATACGAGGTGTGGCTATAAAATAACGAAACTGATACTGCAAAACTTTGCTGGAAGTCTTTTTCTGTGAACTCGTTCATGACGGGTGCGGTTTTTCCTTTACAGCTTCAACGGTTTGATATCTTGTTTCTTTTAATGCAGAATTTTTTAGCTCTTGGTGAATTTGAGCTCATCCAATACATGGATTGTAACGATCTAATTGCTCGTTACATTTATTATCACATTGGTATACGGTAAGTAATGGAGACTGACCATTTATTGCCTTAACTTACAGCTTATTAGTAGACCACCATTAGTTAACCCTCGCATGCGTAAATATGGTTGCCTAATTGTAATGCCAAATTCTTACCAACGAATGGCGCTGATGTGGAAATGAAAAACAACAACTTAGAGATCGGTTCGAGACTCGTAAAGACGCGAACGTGATTTTTGGTTAGGCGTGTGGAAAATTGGAATATCAAATAAAATCTCGGTTATCGGATAATTTTATTTTGAAGTGGTGTTAAGAATTAAATTATCGTAAAGTAGAGTTGTATATTTCGAGCAGATACGTTATTTTGGTTTTATTTCTCGCGGTGTGTAATCACACTGTTTTTGGTTTGTGATTGTTTGTTTACAGGTTTTGTTGGTGAATTTCCCCGTGGTTCTTTGAACTAGAGTAAATTTGTAGCTGTCTTAGACGAAATTTGAGGACCTTCCCCCTTGCTTTGGCACTACTCAGGTAGGTAAGTTCTTACTGATTTTTACTGATTTGCGAGGGCTTGCTTGTTCAGAGTAGATGCATTTCCTGCAGGTTCTGGAGACACAGGGAATTCATTTGCACTGATTGTCGTAATATTCCGTGCGTAGCCTATCTGCCGAAATATAGATTTATTAAGATTTATTTGTTCCATCTACCATTTCTAATGTATATCTTTTCTTTTTAACGTGATCGTTTTTTTTTTCAACTTTGTCAGTATCGAATATTCTAGACCTTTCAGCATACGTCATATCAGTTGCAGCCATTTTGTAAAGTAGAGTCACTGTCAATCGGTTGATATAATTTCGTATCTAACCACACTTTTTCACCAGTCCTTTGTTGAAATTTTCGAGAGTAATTACCATACGATTTTGCAAATTTTTCGGAATTTTCATTTCGCGTAACTTCACTTTTGCAATTTTTGTTATTCATTATTATTCTAACACAGGGTGATATTATTGTAGTTAACTTTCATCAGTTTGTTTTTCTTTGCGCTAGTACAAACTTTCTTCAAATGTTTGTATACAGGGTGAGACTTAATCCCTGTTATTGATTAAAATTTTAATCATCATTTAGTATAAGTTAGCATAGTTATATTAACCTATTCACTTTGTATTTATTTTTAAATTTTGCCTTTTTAAATATTGTATCTTCTTGGTGATCTGGCTTTAAATTATTTTACATGTTACCCCGCTCTAGTCCTCCGACACAACTACGAGGAAGACTAAGTACTCGCCCACGGCCTGGGTATTGATCATCGCCATAGCCAACTGCCATCCCTACCATAACCGTAGCTGTCGCTGGTTTCACATCCATAAGCCTATTCCTATACACCACTATTGGCATCCATAAGCCTATTGCTGTACACCACCATTGGCATGGAATGTTCCAGTCCCTTCGACCAGCCACTTGATAACATTTTGATGCACTAAGAGGCAGGCAACTATTTGCCCAGTGAACTGTTCCGGAGAGGTGCTTTGTGTCGGCCAGAAGATTTAACATTCAGATCGCTATGTTCGTGTATAGCCTATATTTTCATTTCCTGTCAGTTGGTTGTTGTAATTAGTAATTGTTAAAGTAGTTTTCTCAATTTTAACTAATTCTTTTAACTTAGAAGTAGAGTCTCTGTGACTAAGTTTGATACTTTTAATAAATGTATTACCTTTTTGCTGAATTTTTTAATTAGTTCCAATATTCCTTAGAGGATATAAGTTTGTCCGAGTAGTAAATCACCTGGCGCCTAAATAGTGAATAGCAGGGCAATAAGTTCTATAACTTACTGAAAGCGATCCCCCCTTGACCACTGAGTTAGTTGGAGCTAATTTTGAACTTCCACAGAATTCTCAATTATTCTATAGGTGGAAACCTAGAGTTCACTCGAGGGAAGTTTCAGGATTTACGATTAGTTTTTTAGTCAATTGCTATAGTTTTAGCAATAGCTCGACGAACCGACGCGATGGTCAGATCGGATCAGATTAGTGATTTTTTTCAGTATTTCACACGTGATGAATATTCATGGCCAAATACTTCTCTTAATGAAAGGCAAGTTTCAATAGCGGTTTTTTCATTTTTTTAAATGAAATTTTACGACAATTCGTTGCTTCAACACTTATCATTTCGGCAGAACAAAAAATAGATCTTATACAAACGAATGCCACGGTCGAACCGTAGGATCGTATTCGATGCAAAGTAGAGCAAAAAGTTGTCAGTTTTTTATCAAAGGAAAATCGTGTCATCACTTTTAGGAGGCGTAAGATGAACCATTTCAAATTTAAAATGAAATTGAATATAAAATTTGAAATACCGCTGCATACGCACTGTGTTCTGGTAGTAGCTGTAATCGCCCAGGTGCATCGAGTGTACGAAGTGGTCGGTTATACGTCAAATACTAACCTGGCGAGCTTGGTCGTAAATCAGAGAGCACCTCCAAAAAACAAGTAAACGGCAGTGGCGCGTACAAAGGTAAAATGTAGTACATATGTGGAATTTAAAAAAATTGGATTTATAATAAATTACATTTAAAATAAATAGTTTATGGGAATAAAGAAATTTTTGTAGGAACAAGGGTGCCAGACGTGAACTGATCCCTTTGTTGCTTCATAATATATAAAGAAATTATTCAATTTCTAAAACCCTTAAAAGAGTATTGAACTGTATCTCTTGATAGATAATGATTTATTAGTTTGCATCGAATATGATCCTACTATAGTATGTCTGCAGATGCGGTTAAGTCGGTAATCGAAAGATCTGCGCTACACGCTACACAGTTGGCGTATGCGTAGTTTATCTGTAGTAGCATCAATCTCGTTATTTTCTAACCACAACTCGTATATGAGTAAATGTAACTGTATAAGTAACACTAAGCATGAAAGAAAGTGGTGTATACTTTATAATGGATATTTGTTTGTTCAGATTAATATATTTCTTTGCGCCATAAATAATCTTTTGTATTTTCAAATACGTTTTTTATAAATCTAAAACATTATTTGCAAATTTAGCAAGTTTTATTGGTAAATCTATTATAGTGTTAGCGACTTCATGCGTTATTATATTAATATTTAAAATCTTTTTTTACCCCTTATTTTGTTTGTTCCATATGATCAATTTTCATTATTCCCAATTGTATTATAATTTTTTTTCTATTTATATTAATGGTGCTTAATATTTATTTTGTAAAATGAATTTATTTGTAATGTAATTTTTTATAATTAAGGCCCGGTATTTTGAGTCACGATTAAGACTGGATTAACTAATCAGGCGATTAGGCTGTGATTATCAGAGAGCGGACAATTTGTGTCTTTAACCTTGAACATAGATATGTCATTCATAAACCTAGATACATTATCCATGACGCAGTGGCGTGTCGGGTATGCATTGGAAATTTACGTGATAATTCACGAAAATTCCACGGTACATACATTTTTAGGCGTTATAAAATATTTAGAAAATCAGAAATTGTATACTACATATTTATTAAATAAAGTTCGGTTAAAAATAGTGTCGTTCTTTAAATTGGAAATTAGGAGTCAATGTAACGAATAGCCTCAGGCGACGCACATGATAGAATAGTCCAACTCACGCTCCATTCATAACAGGGCTGCAGTTTGAATTCTGACCAATAGGAATTCGATAAACGCAACCGATGTCGACGGATGGACTAGAGATAGGCGCGAGTGTCATTTCATTTCTTTAGAACTAAATTAACTTAATTATTTTCTCGTTATTTAACTTGTTCACATGATTTATGGATTTTAAATAAAGGTTACAAATCTTCGCGAGGATAATACGATATATTTGCTATACATAATAATTATATTTTGCATAGTTTATACACAATACATTTTTGAATGCGTACACATCTCTACCAAAATTTGACCTATTCTTCGGGTTAAAGACACACATTGTCCGCTCTCTAGTGATTATACTTTATCTGATCTATTTCCTTAGCTGTTTTAAATTGATAAAAACTGCATTTCGTTTGATAAAATGTTACCTCCTATGTTGTGTGACATTCCTAAAATACCGATTCCAACGCTCAAAGAAAATAGCGGTTTCACCAAGGCACCCAAAATTGCTGCTTGAATTCCTCTAAATTCATAGTCGGCTATAAATATTACAGCAGAAGGCAAGCCAAAAAATATTAACAACCACAAAACGCAGATAAACTGAAAAAGTTATAAAGTAAGATAATTAAATAACAGTTTAACATACATACACAAACAAAGAGAATAACGATTTTTCCTAAAACGATTTTTAATCAGACACAGGTTTTGACCGATTACTCAAGGACCATTGAGGACCAATTTTGGTATTTGGTTTGCTAAGATATTGGGGATTTGCAATAGTTATTATTTATTTGATGTTTTTTTTACATATTTGTACCTTTTAGAGTGTTTTTTATAGGATGCATGGTTTACTAATAAAGGTAAAAAATTACAATCTTAGGAAAAGATTGAATTTGTTAGTTTGTATACCTTTTATTAAAATAAATGCGACATCATATCAAATGATTTTCACCTATGTTTCACTGTTCAAAATACGCTTAATTTTGCCAATACTTTTTGGCCTTTTAACCTATGAATGGTGCATCCTACATCCTAAACATTTTTTGTACATAGACTTTTCCACTGCTTGCTTTAAAAATAAGAAATTTTAAAATCATATCGATAAGCTGCTGTTTGGGAGTTAAATCGATGAAAAAAATGACATTATTGTGTAAGTTATGGTATTAGTAATATTATAAAAACAAAACAAATAAAAAGTAAGAACAATAGAATTTCAAAACCCTAGAAAAATATATAACTTATAAATATAAAGTTAAGGGAAAATCAATAAAGCAGGAGTACTGGGTTTAAAGCATATAACAACTAAATTATGTTTTTCATTTGCCAGTTAAAATAAAATGTTTGTCTAACAATATCCCTAAAAACTCACTACCTATAAATTGTTACAGTTTAATACAAATAGTATAATTATTTTTAGCAATCAATGCAGAAGATTTTTACATCTTCATGTAAAAAATATACTGATTATCAATCATTTTCAAATAATGTTGCGAATGAAATGTGTTGCAGCAGTAATTTTACCTCAAAATGGTGCAACCTATCGTTATTCGGGACGCATTTGTGATACACGTCCCTCAAGGAAAAAAGGAAATCCTATCGATATCATTTATTTTCTAATTTTTGTTTAACATAGTTGAAATGTCCGTATACAAAAGACTTGGAGCAATATTTATCCACAATCTGTACAGATATACTCACTTTGCTGTTGGTGACATTGCGGTTTTTATTCTTCGTATATATCATTCCCAGTAATATACCTACAAGACTCGTGGTCCAGTTGGAGTATGTCGAATTGTATAAGATCCTTATAGGATCTGATCGAGTAAATATAAATCTCCTTAAGGTACTGTTGATTCAAACATATTTATTTAGAAATAATAAACAATATTAGAAGCTCACAAAAAGTGAATTACTTTCTATTGTGTATTTTGGTAAAGAAAGGTAAATATGTACATATTTTGCTGTGGTATCGAGGGTGGAGTTTAATATTAGTGGATGTCTCATAAAATGCATATATTTATGTACATATAATAAATGTTCCTGATAAGAGAACAAAATTTTCATCAATATGCTTGTTTATATGCAATCACCAACGTTTTGTTCATAGGAACATAGATTTAGGTTTTTTTATTTAGAAATGTTATTATGAAAAAATTTAGTCATATCGTATTTACTTATTATTTTAGACAATTATTACCTGTTTACAGGGTGTTACAATCTCGATCTCGAAAACGGTAAGAGATACAAACTAGCTTAAAGGGGGGCAAAGTTGCGTAATCAGGGGACCAACATTATGCCTCTAAAAAATCAAGGCTAATATGATTAGTTTTCAAAATATTTGAAAAAAAAAACGAAATTTTGGAAATCCGTTTTTGTTTAATTTCAGCCTTGTTTAAAGAGATATTGAAAAAAGAAGAACACTTTCTGAGGGTTGCTTTCGCTGTACAGCAAGAAATAAACGCTCTCTCAACGGTAATAATAAAGAATTTTATTGAAAACTAATGTATAGAAAACTTGTATGGAAAAAACGTGTTGACGGTTTGAGGGTAGGGGTAGGTTCGCTTCTCACTACAGGGATCTCGGAAACGGTAAGAGGTACGAAGTAGCTTAAATAGGGGCAAAGTTGTGTAATCAGGGCACCAACATTATGCCTCTAAAAAATCAAGGCTAACATGATTAGTTTTTGAAGTATTTAAAAAAAACGAAATTTTGGAAATCCGTTTTTGTTTCATTTCAGTCTTGTTCGAGGTGATATTGAAAAAAGAAGAACACTTTCTCGTGGCCACTTTTTCCCCTCTATCGAATGGCATAAACAATTTTTATATGTAACGTTTCGTCTCTCCAGGATCATCACCAACTTCATTTTTTTAAATACGACCGTAGAAATTTTATTACATTTTTTGCAAACCTTCATGACCCCCGATACTGTACTGCCTCAGCTGAACCAGATTCAGACGTTTTGTCTCGAAAATTTTATCTTCAGTGTATTAATTCCAAATTTATCTGAATTTTTTATTTAAATTTCTTTGTTTATAGAATTATGGTACACTGTAAGTGTTGTTAGACCCTGTGAAATCCATCTAGTTATTTAAACTATTACCACCATGTATTAAAATAAAAAATTAGTTTTATTCCCGTGTCCATAGTTATTTCTAGGCATCTCGAGTGCTCAAAATTCAAACAAATACCGATCTATTTTTTTCAGGATATTCATACAAATACATCTGACATACTCTTTCACAGTTGCAGTTACAGATATAATAAATTCCGATAATATTACGCTGATTTTCATTTTCAACTTTTGCCAAAACGAAAATGTTTTTGAACATTTACTGAAGTTTTTTAAAGAATAATATTCAGTTGGCGTTTTGGTTGTTCATATGCATTTTTAAGAATTAATTTGTCATAATAAAATTAAAATTGTAGTAATGTTAATAATAATAAATGTTTTATTGTAACGCGTGGTGGTAATAGTTTAAATAACTAGATGGATTTCACAGGGCCTAACAACACTTACGGTGTAGGATAATTCGATAAACAAAGAAATCTAAATAAATTTAGATAAATTTGGAACGAATACACAAGATGAATTTTTTCGAGACAAAACATCTTAATCTGGTTCGGGCTGACGCGGTACAGTATTGGGGGTCATGAAGACTTGACAAAAATGTAATAAAATTTCTAGGGTCGTATTTAAAAAAATGAAGTTGATGATGGTCCTGGAGAGACGAAATGTTACCTATAAAAAATGATTATGCCATTCGATAGAGGGGAAAAAGTGGCCATGATGAAGTGTTCTTCTTGTTTCAATATCACCTCGAACAAGATAGAAATGAAACAAAAACGAATTTCCAAAATTTCGTTTTTTTTTTAAAGATTTCGAAAACTAATCATGTTAGCCTTGATTTTTTAGATGCATAATGTTGGTCCCCTGATTACGCAACTTTGCCCCCATTTAAGCTACTTCGTATCTCTTACCGTTTCCGAGATCCTTGTAGTGAGAAGCGAATTTGTAACAGCCTGTATATCTACATTTTTGGCATCGAGGAACATTTCATTTGATGTCTTCAAAATAAAGTAAATATACGATATCTGATAACAAAATATACAGGGTGATTCAGTCATAATATAATTAATTTTAACGGGAGATAGAGAAAAATTAGTAGAATACCAATACGCAATTAAAAAAAAATTGAATTATATTTTCAAATCATTATTTAAACTCCTCCCCGGACCGCTCCTGACCGCTGACGGCGTTGATTCATTTACGATGTCGGCCTGGTGCAACGTTGCCATATTTAAACATTTTGCGAGAGTAGGTATGCCTTTCAAAAAAAAAACAGTTTTTAATGTTAATTTTCCGAGCAGTGGCGGCTGGTGAGATTTCAGGTATGCCATATCTCAATAGCCAGACATGGGGCATAGAGAACTTTTGGAGAAGGAGAGCAATTTTACAATTTGCGAAAACAAGTTGAAAAATTATGTTTCTCACTTAGAGATATTCAGATTGGCTTCTGTAATTAAACCTATTTATTTAAAGTGCCATTTAAACAATACTCATTCAGTTAACAAAGTTGAGATCCGCTACTTTTCGATTTTGAAACCAATTGCAAAAGTCAACACAACTGGGGAAATCAGCTGGTTCTAAAGCTTGAACTTTTTGAAAACGATACGGGTTAAGTGAGTTTTTTCGTAACATTCTCCAGACCTTGGTATACGGGGTGTTTCAGGATTAAGTCGATAAACTTTAAGGAGATATTCCTCATAAAAAAATAAGAAAAAAATAAAATATATATATTTTTTCGAAATACAGGGCGTTAAAGATTTTTAAACAAATTCGAATTTTTTAAACAACTTCTAAATGAAGGAGGCTATTTAAGCCAAATTTGGCATGACACATCTTCTTATAGGATACCATTTTTTCCATAGAATTAGAAGTCCCGCAAGCAAACAGTGGCAGAGTTATGGGGACTCACTCATTAAATTATAAAACAAATTAATACGGCCCTACTGAAAATAAAAAATGATGCTGTTTTTAGATAGAACAGTTTTTTATTGACAAAAAGTGTACATTCACTTTTTTCCTAACACTTATAGTTTCATGGCAAAATTGATTCTTCGGAAGGGTGCTTTTGGATTCTGTCGATAAACTCGTAAAACTTAAAAAAATATAGTACCTATTAAAATTGGTTTTAGTCTCGAGTATGTGTGAGTCAAATAAGCCTTTTTGTCTCCTCTTCCCTTGGGTTTAACCAACAGTATTAACATTATTTAAGAGATGCTTCGTTTTTGAGATATAGGATGTTTTTTTTTAGAAAAAAAAATGATGATGAAAACAATAGAAATATTTTAGTACCTAACATCTAATGTGACATGTCGTAATGCGACAACGTAACGACCCTTGCATTACTCCTAAATTTTTTCAGGCGGTTTGTAGTCACTTCATTTACTTGTGTTGTGTACTTTTAAATAAGATGGCAAACAATACATGAAAATTTATTTGTAAATTGAAACAACCAAAAAATTACCAATTAATATTATGCCTAGACAAAGCGAAAAGTGAATCAAAAATGAAATGATTTAAAAAATATTTTGTTCAAAATGCACGACATCCAATTATGGAGGTAGTGGCCGATCGACACTGAATTGGAGTTAATTCTCGACACGCTTGGACTATTCACTGTCTTAGATCTTCTAGGATCTAGGGCTAGGGTATCAACTGGCACCTCGTAGACTTTTTGTTTAACAGCACTCCAAACGAAATAATCCCTCGGTGTCAAGTCCGGTGAACGTGCGGGCTACGCTGCACGTTCTCCACAACCAATCCATCTCCTGGGATAATTAATGTTTAACCATTCCCAAGGACCTATACCAAAATGGGCAGGACAACCATCTAGTTGAAACCAACTGTTCATTCGAGTATTAAGCGGAACATCTTCTAACAGTTCTTGAAAACCAGTTTCAAGGAACTCGGTAAACATGTCAGCATTTAACCGATGCGGAAGGAAGTAGGGACCAACTATAGTATTGTCCAACACACCCAACCATACGTTACATTGGAATTCATGCTGAAAACTATGTTCCCTTACCGCCCGTGGATTCTCGTAGGACCAAATATGGTTGTTCCATTGGTTTAAAATTCCCCTTCGAGTAAATGTTGCCTCATCTGTCCACATTACTTTTTGCGTGAACTGATCATCATTCTCTGCTTGGTTTAACATCCAGTCACAAAACACGCGCCTGCATCGTATGTCCTGAGGCAATAAATGTTGCACACGCTGGATATGGTACGCATGGCGTCCATCAGCCCGAAGAGTCCTCCAAATGGAACTTGACGAAATACCTAGCTCGTAGCTAGATCTTCTGACATCCGTGGATGGATTTTCATTGAAATGGTTTAAAATATGTAGTATTCGATCTTACTGTGTCCTGAAGTGTCCATCAGCATAAGTTGGAATACCGAAAGACCCAGTTTGTCTGATTGTGAGACGACTGAATATCGTTGAAAATGTTTCCTTTGCTGGTAGGTAGTCTGCGATGAGGAAATTTTACTGCATATTCACGGCGAGCCGCCGCCGGTGGCATTTCCATCATAAAAACCGTATACAAAGAGGACCATATCAGCATATTCATTGTTCGAAAATATGGACGGAATTATTAAACTTATTTTTATTATTAGTTTGAACGCTTTATCTAATGGATAATTTATGCAACAATTCGCAAATTAACATTTAAAACGTCAAATTAATATTGTTTGACAGCAGCCTACTAGAAAATTTTTGTTGAGGTTCATTTTAAAGTTTATCTACAGAATCCAGAAGCACCCTTCCGAAGAATCAATTTTGCCATGAAACTATAAGAGTTAGGAAAAAAAGTGAATGTACACTTTTTGTGAATAACAAACTGTTCTATCTAAAAACAGTATCAATTTTTATATTCAGTAGGGCCTTATTAATTTTTTTTAATAATTTAATGTGTCTGAGTCCCCATAACTACGCCATTGGTTGCTTGCGGGACTTCTACTTCTATGGAAAAATGGTACCTTATAAGAAGAAGTGTCATGCCAAATTTGGCTTAAATAGCCTTCTTCATTTAGAAGTTATTTAAAAAATTAGAATTTTTAAAAAAATCTTTAACGCCCTATATTTTGAAAATGAAGCGTCTCTGGAAAAAAATTTCTTATTTTATTATGAGGAATATCTTTTTAAAGTTTGTCAATTTAATCCTGAAACACCCTGTATATCTTCAACCGCCATGAAATGGTCCTTGTCGAAATACTATTCTGCTTCAGCGGCATTCGCATTTCGTAAACATTCTCAGTATAAAACCACCATTTTCGTGTTTTCAAAATAGAAACAATACGAAATAAACTAACTTTCCATACGTATGACGTGATCTCCAAATTTCTGGGAAAAAAAATGCGGTCCATGTTAACGGTGGTAGATTTGATAAACACCCTGAAGTGCTAAATAATGTTATTTTATTATTATGTATGTGGTACTGATGTGGCAACTCTGTTTCGCTTCAACGTCAACGTTCTGTGGTCCATTGGCGTTCCAGCTCATAAAATGTGATGCGAAGTAGGGCGCCGAATTAGCAGGAGTTGAGGGGTAATTTATCTTATCTTTTAAAAGGTCGAATTTTTTTTTTCAAATACATGGTTAAAATTAATACATTCTGACTGAATCACCCTGTATTAAAGAAATATGTGAATATAAACGAAGTACTTATGAATTTGGAATAACAAAATCTACATGGAAAGAATTAGGGGTTGCAATTTAAAAAAAAATGATGGGGATGTTATCAATTCGCCTCATTGCGAATTAGTCACACAATTTTGAGTGTCTGTCACTTATGAATATTAATATAATCTGTTCAGAGCACTTACTTAATATTAATTCTCGCAATGATGTCCATTTCATTAACGTATATAACTGATCCATATAACATACAGGAAAAAAGTATTAAGAAGCAAATAACCTTCCACTCACACAGTTCAAATTTTAAAATTAAATAGATTGTTATTACTGCCATAATGTATAGTTGATAATCCGCAGACAAATACCATGATGGGGGAAGACACTGTAAAAAATATTTTATAGCGAAATTATACCAAACATATGCATTGTGTTTTAAATCAGTTTGTTTAATACATACCATATCCGCGATATATAAATAGTTATTCACAAAACAAAAAGTTTGCCACCAGTTGTGTTCACAAGATTCTTGAATCTTGTAAATGTTATCAAAAGTAAGAGGTCCAACGGCTGATAATCTATTCAGAGAAGGTTTTGATAGATGTAACGCTACAGATAAACATATTCCAATTCTAAAAAATATATGGGGTATAAATTTCTATTTTGACGAACGTAAATTAAAATCAATAAATAAGTTTCAGAATTAGAACTTCCCCTACGTTTATTTAAGAAATTATGTGATGTTGCTAAATTGGTAGTATCAGCAACGGCTAGGGGCTATGGTTAATATGTAGGGTGTTTGGAAAAGTTTGTACATTTAAGTAGGTGAAAGTAAAGCCAAAAATAGTAAAAAAAGTTCCTATATATATAATATCCTATAAGTCCTACGGAGCACCGTTACTGCGATGGCTCTCCAAAGGGATCATTTGGATATTTTCTAAAATAACTTTCTTCTGATCAAGATAATGGAATGAAAATTGGAGGTATTAATCATACCATAAGGATCTTTAACTATCATAAGTTTCATTAAAATCAGTTATAAATAAGGATAGTTTTCTAACTACCCTTAACAGACATTTTTTTATTCCTTTGAATTGTCAAGCAAATAATATTATTTTTTAATAAATTACACTTTTTGAAGAAAAAATGTTTCTACTTTTCTTTCGAATGCTGCGTAGTTTAGTCAGAAATAATTATTTTTTAAATACTGTATGGCTCTGAACTAACATTTTTTAAACATTTTCACATTAGGCATCTTTCATGGTGACAGTTTCGTTGTAATGATACGATTGCTACATTTCTTAGTTGTGATCTTTGTGCTTGACTTTGCAATTCATTCGATTTTTTTACAACCATGAACCATCATCCTTTTACTAACCGTGAATATGCTGATATGCATTTTATTTATGGTTTCTGTAATGGAAATAGTTTGGCGACTTAAAAAAAGTATCGACAACGTTTTTCTGATAGAAGGCAACCTTCTGCAAGATTGTTTGGGAAAATTCATGCAAGACGAAGTGATTTTAGGATTTTTTTAACGTAATCCTACTGCGAGTGTAAGAAGAGCGTCTGCTCGTGATGGTTCATGGTTGTAAAAAAATCGAATGAAATGTAAAGTCAAACACAAAGACCACAACTAAGAAGATAAAGAAACGTAAGAATTTAAACGATAGCACGCGGAAGTGACAATCTTTAGTATCATTACAATGAAACTGTCACCATGAAAGATGCCTGCTATGTGAAAAAAGTTATTGTTCTGAGCCATACATTATTTAAAAAATAATTATTTCTGACTAAACTACGCAGAATTCGAAAAAAAGTAAACATTTTTTCTTCAAAAAAATAATATTATTTACTATACCTATATCAAAGGAATAAAACAAATTCTAAAAATTTCTGAATTTAGAAAACTCCTTATCTATAACCGATTTTGATGAAATATGATAGTTAAAGCCCCCTATATGATGATTACCTACAATTTTCATTCCATTATCTTAATCAGAAAGAAAGTTATTTAAAAAATGTGCTGCAATTAAAAATGCAATTAATATGCAAGCTATACAACGCTATCCAAAAGGTTTGTACCATATGGGAAAAAATTCCTTCGATTGTCAATCAAAATAGCGCCCATCGAATTTCGTTATTTCCTTTTAAAAGATTAGCCCGAATATAAAGTTTCAGTTCATTATGTTGAAAGAGCGATTTCTGACAATTTCGCAACTCTCCCTCGTGCATAATTCGAGAATATCCATCACTAAAGTCACCTTCATTTAGTTCAACTCGCCTTAAATATTTTATGCAAAAAAAGTGTATACAATGTGAAACGAAAGATCGGTCAGATGTTGTTTTTAACTACTAAGGAGTCGCACTTTAAATTTCAGTAGTATAGGGTTATAACTTTAAGTGAGGGTCAAGTTTTTTAAGACCCTTTAAATTTTTTTCAAAATCATTTAAAGTTTTCAATTAAACGTATTTATTACTATTTTTTAAAGCACTGACATTGGCCTAGTTTAGTTACTTTACATATTCCAATGAAGTAAACAATTGCATACAGTCACTGCGTTGTAAAATTCTAAACATAATGTAGTATGTTTCTACTCTGTTTTCTTATTTAGTCACTTCATCAGCTAAATTGGTGCTAAACATATTAAATTAATGCAAAATCAACATAAAACAGCAACAAAATTATGCCGCGAGTGATACGTACGCAAAAATCTATTATACGATGTGAAGTCCGATTTTCTATGAAAGCGTGACATTAGAAAAAATAGCCCTTCATTCCGTTTTGATCACAACACGTATTAACCAGCAAATTCACTCGCCGTCGGCACTTTGATCTGTTTTCGGTCTGATTTCGGTGTCCTTCGATCTGTCAGGATCGCAATTAAATTTTTTTAATTATGTGGAAAACCGTTTAAAATGGTACTCATAAATACATATATAATCTAAAATAGTAAAATTATTATTTTAAGGACTAGATTATAGTTTTCTTACTAATACTTCGTGACCTTTTTCAATAATCACTTTCGGTAGTTTGACCACCATTTGTTAGTAGCGATGTGTTGTGTTATAAATAATAGAGAGTCTTAGAATCATTTAGGATAATATGTTGTTTGTATCATGCATCTGCGTTTACTGAAATTAAACCTTTATTTAACTTTTTAAGGGATTTCTCAAGTAATCGGTTTTAAATAGAATCAATAACAACGACTNCAGTATGGAGTGTGCTTTATTTGTCACTGTTGCTGCTGCTGTTGGTGTTGTTGTTACTGTTGTTGTTGTTGCAGCTGTTGCTGTTGTTATCAATAGAATCAATAACAACGACTGCAACTGCAGCGGCAGCGTATAATAAGTACAACTAATATCAAAATATTAATGTATTAATATTGATAAATTCTGCAATTCCTCTTATAACACTCCTTGATATTCCTCGTATAACAATTAAAAATATTCGTCATTAATGCTCACAATTATATTTTATATTTGCATATGGAAACCTTTATTATTTTATATATTTTCTTATTTATTAATTTAGAAAAAATATATGGGATGAGAGCACATATTTTATTGTAAATATTTTTAAATAACATTTTCGCATTACCTTACATAAAACTAATTTACGACTTGAAATAAGTAGGATAACCTATAGGTATAATCCACATGACCGTCAAACTATAAAAAAAATTAAATACGTCTTTTGCACAGACCTGGAGGATAGCGGTAGGTTTCTGCAATTGAAAAAGATGTGCGGTCGGTTATTCGCACTTTGCGATTTCGGCTCATCTGACTTAATTGGTTTATGTAAAATATGCCAATAATTTCACAACCTCGAGTGCTTGATTATAGTTTACAAAATGGAATATAAGCTGATTTTACACCTGATTGAGTGATATAAATAGGGACGTAGATAGGCAAAAAATAATGTAAAACTTTTATTCGGGGTAAAGGGATGGGGTGTTAAGGGTAAATCCTCTACACAGGTACCAATATGCCTATCACGCAGGTAGATCAGTCGACACAGCCCTTCATAACCTAGTTTCTAGGATAGAGAAGGCGATGGACGATAAAGATGTAGCTTTGGCAGCTTTTCTAAATATTGAAGAGGCATTTGATAATACACCCTTCGAATCTATTAACTCGGCAGTTGGCAACAAGGACCTGGATGACGCTTTGTGTCGTTGGATAGATACCATGTTGAGAAACTGGACACTAACAGAGAGAGGGAGAGACATCTCAGTGTACGATAAGCCGGGGCTGCTCCCAAGAAGGCGTACCGTCTCCCTTATTATAGGGACTAGTGGTGGACGGCGCACTGGAGGGCCTTAATTGAAAGAGAATTACACATAAGGCTATGCGGACGACTTAGTCGTGCTCATATTAGGGGGACATAATATCATCGTTTCAGAACTCATGAAAAAGGCTTTGAAATGGATAGGTGACTGGTGTAAGGGAAACTGTCAGTAAACCCTGACAAAACGGTCGTAGTACCCTCCACCAGGAGAAGAAGTGTGACTGGACTCTCTGAACCTATAATAGGGGAGAGGTGCATTCGGCTTTCCAGGGAAGAAAAATATCTAAACGTGATACTGGATGATAAGCTAACCTGGAATGTACACATGGAAAAAGTGGTGAGTAAGGCGAAGCAGACATTGTGTGTATGCCGTCGCTTCATTGGGAGCACCTGGGGGCTGAAGCCAAAGATGTCATACGGGATATATACATCGATAGTAAGACCTAGGATTTTTATGGCGCTGGCGCTGTGGTATGGTGGCAAAAAACACAACATGCCACAGCGAGGGAAAACTGAATAAAATTCAGATATTGACCTGTTTGGGTATAACGGGGGCGTGGCTAGCAGCATACCAATTCAGAAACAATAACGACTGGAGGGGTAGTCTCTATTCCAGGATCATGGACACATCTACGTCGGAACCAACTCTTGGTTGGTATATGACAAGGTGATTCCAAGGTTTTATTTCCACAAGCCATTTGAGACTCGAATATAGGATCAAATCAAATGGGAGGAAAAGTTTGATACCCTGGAAAGATGGAGCCTAGTATGGTTTACGGACGACTCCAAAATGACCAGAGGGACGTGTGCAGGAATATATGGGTTCAGACACAGATGGAGTGCAAGCTACAGTCCGGAGAGGTTCCCTACTGTATTCCAAGCAGAAATTTTCGCGATAATATATATATATATATTGGGGATGTCGTCAATTGGTGATTGAAAGTAAACTCTTATTTAACTTAAACCAAGCTTTCGATAATTATTTATTATCTTTTTCAAGGTTACTGGTTCAGTTGACAGAGTTACATCTTAAAACTTAATGGATAATATAAAATTTTTATTTTTATTTTCATTGTTCTGAATAGCTGTCTAGTCTCGACTGAATAACTGATCTTTATTCAGTTTAAATTTTATGCATATCTCGAAGACCAAAATTATTTTTCAATTTTCTGAATTGTCTTTTTGATTCCATGTCTATAAAAAACTTTTCAAAAATATAAGGATATAGACCCATTAAACTCGTATCTCTCTGTAACAACTATGTACAACTTTTTTTATTTTCATATTTTATTTTCTCTTATTTTATTTCTCTTTTTTTATTTTCTTATTTAACTTTTTTTCTATACTTAAAAACCAGAAAGTTATTATTATTATTTTAATTTTTTATTTTTGTCAGTGGTGTATTATCTATTTAAAAAAAGCGTCTATTAATGATATTTGCATGCCATTGAATATTCCAATTGAACTGAAACATGATAATAGAGGTCCAGTAATTCAACATGTAATATCAGTAAACTGTATTATGATTTAAATTCATTTTGCTTCATTTTTAGGAACTGCGTCAAGATTGTAGAAAAATGCTCAGATCCGTTGATTTAAGATTAAAGGGGGACATTCTTTGCTGGTATTTTTGACTCCGCCACTTTCACCTCTAAGCAAGGGTAAGCATCATCCCAAAATATTTAAATGGGATTGGGGGTTGAGGAATATTTCTTTTGAAACCTCTTACAATTTTCTTTACAACAGACTTTAAATTTTATAATTCCGCCCAATACTTATTAAGAATTATGATTTTAAAGTTGAAACTTATGTACAAACAATTAGTAACGGTAAAAATGTCAGTCATTCGAGTTAGGTGGTACAAATTTAGAATTTCTTGCGTTACATTGGTTTTTGGCGATTTGTTATCACTTTCATAAAAAGAAACAATTGTAAAAAACACAATGAACGTAAAATTAGTGGATTGCAAATTATTTTCTAGTATTATTTGGAAGCGTTGGTTGGTAGTTTACTTAATTGTGTTTTTGAAAATTAAACAGTATGGTTTATTCCATTGCGGGAAGGGTAGATATCATTTCGCTTTACTTTATGAACAATAAATGTGCTCAGCTATTAAATGTAAATGTAAATGACATGTCAGGAGGAAGTATGTTCTATAGTTAGTAAAAAAAATCAAGAGACAGGGAACGTACCCAATAAAAAAACGAGAAATTGAAAAACCTATAGTTATTGAAGCTAGTGAAGTTGCAGTTTTGGGACAAGTTCATCTTGATCCTGCATTAAGTACAAGGCAGCTGACATTTGTGTCTGGGATCAATCGAACTAGCATACAAACCATTTTGAAGAAGAATAAATTCCATCCATACAAAATACATTTAGTCCAAAAACTTCATGAGGATGATTATGACCGCCGGCGCCGTTTGCAATTTTGCGAAATAATGAGTGAGCGAGCAGGGAACGATCCACAGTTCCTTTTTAACATCTGTTTTTTCTGATGAATACGGTTTTCTTCTTGAACGGGACGGTAAATCGTTGCCGCTATTGGTCCGATTCAAACCCAAGAGTTTTTCACCAGGTGCATACACAGCAATCGGAAAAATTAAATGTATGGGCTGGAATTTCCTGTGACCGGCTGGTGGGTCCTTTTTTTCTACCTGGTAATTTGACTGGCCAAACGTATTTGCAATTACTGGAAGACGCTATTGACCCTGCCTTGACTGATATTATTGAAAATGTTCCAGAGTATGATGAAGAACATTTAATTTTTCAACAGGACGGTGCTCCTCCGCATTATACGTCAATTGTCCGTCAGTATTTGAACCAACGTTTTCTACGGAATTGGATTGGGAGAAGAGGCAGCATTGAGTAGCCTCCACGATCACCGGATTTATCGCCCCTTGATTTCTTTTTGTGGGGATACCTAAAGTAAAATATCTAAAACACAGCCAGCGTCGCTGGAAGATTTGCGTCAAAGAATCGTCGACGAATGCCGTCGAATTATTCCGCAAATGCTTAGGAATGTGCGCGAACGTTTCGAACAAAATCTTTATTCTTGTATGGAAGCGGGCGGTCATCAGTTTGTACATTTAATCAACTAAGTAGTAAGGAAGCAACTAAACATAATTTAAATTTTAAAATGTACATTTTTTTCAAAGTATTGGGCTGGATTATAAAATTTAAATTCTGTTGTAAAGAGCTTTCAAGAAGAAATATTCCTCAACCCCCAATGCCATTTAAATATTTTGGGGTGATGCTTACCCTTGAAAGTGGTGGAGTCAAAAATACCAGTAAAGAATGTCCTCCTTTAATCTAAAATCGACGGGTCTGGGCGTTTTTCTACAATCTTGACGCAGTCCCTAAAAATGGCTCTGTTTCGTTTTCATTTGGCCACCCTGTATATTAAAGTCGCAGCATCCATCCACAAATTTTTACTTGAAATACCCCCATTAAATTTCCTCCTAGTGGTAAAACTTGACTTAGCAGATACTATAATGCCCATATTTATTTTTTTCTTAAAATAATACAAAATGAAAGTGTTAATAATAAACGTCGTTTGTAGAAAACGTAGCAAGATATGATTTTTATATATTTAAAATGTTTTCAAGTTCAACTTTACATTCTACTTAAGAACTTACTAGTTCTTTATTTTGTGTCTATTAATATTTGTTGTAGTAGACAAAATGTGGAAAAATGTCAATGAGTGGTGGTGTCCGTTGTTTTCAATTCTTACCTGAAAAATCTGTTAATAATAAGAATAAAGGCTTGTTTAACAGTAAATTTCCCATGATCTCTATAAATATTGTATATTTGAAAGGTTACAATCCAGGAAGATATCAAAAAAAACGTCTGCATTACAAAAGTAGTTAAAGTTGACGAGTACTGCATTATGGCACCATTGAACATCTGGAACAATAAATTTAGTTATAACTGCCTTAGTTGGTACATAATCGGTATAGCATATACCAGTTGTTTAAAAAATCTTAAATTCCGTCGAGAAAATACAGTAGTGCTAAAATGAGTCTCCTTGTCCTCCTTGTAGGTGTGCAGGGAATTTTATAAGGGAACCCTTATTTTTTATTGCTGAATCCATTACTACGGCTAAAACTACATAGGATTGGTCTGAAACATTTTTTTCGATTCATTATAGATGGCGCTGTAATCGATCTCCTACTGAGAGCCTATGCAAAATGAATTGCCAACATTGAAGACTTGAGCTTACAATTAGAAGTGCAATAGAACATATGATTTCAACATGATATTTGTCCAGCATACTATTCGTGAAGTACTTGATCGCGATTTCATTGGTTGCTGGATCGGTAGAGGTGGTTCGGTAAATTGGCCTACTAGATCACCAGATCTTACTTTGCTAGATTTATTTTTGTGGGGCTGTCTCAAAGACAAAGTTTACAAATAAGAACCAACGACATGTGAGAATATGATTGAGCGAATCAGACTTTACACTCTTTTCAGTTGTGTAAAGTCATTTGAAATGCCTATTAAAAAGTGCAGTGTAAGTCGAAGATCATCATTTTGAGTACATATTTTAATTGAAAGATTACTCATGTAAATCAAGCACTCTGATAAGTGAGAAGCGAAGAGATTCACAACTTAAGTACCCTTAGGTGTGAGATGAAGGGATTAACCTAAATAACAATCACGTTCATGTCGTTGTTCCTGGGTTACGTTAAAAGTACTTTATTAGCCAACCATTTTCATTACTACAGGTAATAATTTCCCAGTTATTCGAAATTTTCAAAATGAATAAACTTTTTTGACTAGGAATTTCGAGTATTCACATAAAACGTGGATATTTTTATTGCAGAAATTGAAAAAAGAATTGAATTTTGTCTGTTGCAGCGCCATCCATCAGGAATCGAAAAAATGTTTCACATAAAACCTACGTAGGTACTTTTAGACGTAGAATCCGAATCTGCAATAAAAATAGGGGTTGCTATTTAAGATTTCAAAGTTACCTTCCACCCCACCAACAAGGAGAGAGAAGGGAAACTAATTTTAGTAGGACTATGTAGGACAGTCCGAGAGCCCGTGGCATTTTGAGGGTAGTCATTTTACCAAGGCTGATTTTCGCACATATGTGAGGTCTTACATGGTACCTGCCAATCTTCGGGTGGAGGTGGGAGTAATAGGGCCAGCCCCGCGTTGAAAAATGACAAAATGTATGTACTGTGGGTACACATGTCTGCGATTGACCCACTTTAAGTATTAAGTCAAGAGCGAGCGCCTGACGCCGGATCGGTCTAATAGTTGCAAGGACAAAGAACAGACGCGGGACGCACCAGAGTTCCAGGAAAGGTCCACGGCAGTTTGGCACCAGGTCTAGATACATATACATGCGAGTGACTCCATACCAGGACTCTCCAGCGAACGCTCGCCCTGACAACGCTTCTTTTTCACTAACTTTGTTTTCAATAAAAATACTTTTATTTTACTGTTGGGAGAGAGTTTTATTTTGCTGTACACCGAAAGCAACCCTCAAGTGGTGACCCCGCCGTGATTTTTCAACCGACGTGATCTTTTAACCGACGTGATCTTTCAACCGTCGTTAAGTGAAAGTACGCGATTTTTGTGCAATTGGAGTGGTTTTTATTTCACATGACGCAGCAAACAAACATGAGCCTCAACGAAGAAAACTACGTCGAAAATGATACCCGTCCAAAAGACGACAGGCTGGATCGCATCGAGCAATAGTTGATGGAGATGTCGCAGGCAATGGCAAAGCTATTCACAAAGAGTGAACCGCGATGACCGACGACAATATAGATCGCGTTTGCAAGACCGATCGTGAAGCCGTGACAGTGACAGTAAACAGTGCTGGTATCACCAACGTTTTGGTGACCGTACTCGTGAGCGCCGCGATCCGTGCACGTATCGTTCGGGAAACGCGACGGGCAGTCGGTGATGGCGAACAGCGACCCGTGCCCGATTCCGCGCCGTTTGTACGTTACGGATACGTATTTCAAGGTCCAGTTTCTCGTCGATACGGGTGCTGATCGTAGTGTATATCCGCGTGCGCTGGTGAAATTGTCGCGATCGATATCGACGTAATAGCTTACAGCGGCAAATGGGACCTCAATTTATACGGCACAGTGCACAAACGCGACGACAAAGCATTCACAGTGCTAGTGCGTGGTCGAGAAGTTAAAGTGTCTATAGACAGGGTCAAACCTGCGTATTGTTTGAATGACGCGGGTACCAGGGACGAGGATAATAGCCTCCCATCAACTTCTGCCAACCACACTCAAGTGAATTGGCATGAGGTCCAGTAGAAGGTTTCGTTTCCCTGACCGGCTGCAGGTTCCGTGATGGCATCTATACTGGCAGGTGGTGTGTGGTTACACATGTCCGAAAGTGACCCATTTTAAGTATTATGTCAAGAGTTCCAGCCTGACGCCGGACCAGTCTAATAGTTGCAGGGACAAAGAACAGACGCGGGACGCACCAGGGTTCCAGGAAAGGTCCACGGAAGATTGGCGCCAGGACCAAATACATATACATCCGAGCGACTCCACACTAGGACTCTCCAGCGAACGCCGTTGAGAGATAGATTTATTTTGATGCACACCGAACGCAACCCTCAGTACCAAAGCTGAAATTGTTTGTATACTTTGTTTAAAACAATTAACGATAAAAAATCACGTTCAACTGAAAAAATGGAGGTGGAAAACGCTTCAGCTGTGCGTATAAATAGGTATGAAAATCATATTTAAAAATTTTTTAGTAGGTACCAAACGTAAAATCGATTTTAATGATAGTATAGAACGTGTATGTTATAAAAACAAACTTTAAGTGAGCACACGTCGGGGGAATAACTTTTAGCTGTGGTCAACAATATTTTGAGCGACGTTTTTGTAACTACAACATTCGTGTAAGTGTCTCACCTATACCTGCTACAGTCGAAGGCTAAACCATATATACCTGCTACACTGGATTAATATTATCGTACGTATTGTCGTACTTTTTTTCAGAAGCAGAGGAAAAAGAAAATATACTCACACATATCGATTCGAGCGAACATGAAAGCGATATCGAGAAATGTGATATTGAGGAGCGATGATAGCGACGAATAAAATGATTCATTAATAAAAACATTTTTATGCAAAATTTATCCTCATTATACATCTTGTCGCCATTCAATAAAATCATATATTTTTTGCTGAGTAACAATGAACATATTTGAACAATTTCATTTTTGCAAAAAAAAACCTTCATTTTTTTATTCTACCAAAGCTTAAATTTCACAAATATAGGTATGTGCATAATATTAACGAAAATAACCTGGCTTATGTGAGGGGGAAAACTCGTCAGCTGACCGTGAAATTCTCGAAAACGCACGACCCGCTGAGCGGCCCGCTACCTGCCTGAATAAAAGTCAATTACCTCAGCTGAAGGCTATTCCCTCGATGCGTGCCACCTGAAGCTTGTTTTTATAACAAACATTAAAATTTTTTTAATAGGATTTTCATACCTATTTATACGTGCAGCTGAAGCGTTTTCCACCGGCCATTTTTCAGCTGAACGTGATTTTTTATCATTCATTGTTATAAACAAAGTATACAAGCAATTTCAGCTTTGGTACTATTATTTTTTTTTGACATATTTCAACGCGGTGCTGGCCCTATTATTATTACTTTCACCTCTACACAAAGAGCGGCAACTGAAGGTCGTTTAGTTTATGTACCATAAAAGACCTTACATGTGGATGAAAATGACACTTGGTACTATTGGTTACTAAAATGTACCGCGGACTCTCGGGCTAATACGGTTTCAAGTTTGATGACATGCCCGACTAGCTAGTAGGACTATTACTGCTTTAGCAGACCTACTATTTTCTTAGTTTTGTCAAATAATCACATAAAAATTTGATTAGTACCAACAGTAATAGCAATATTTTGTACATCTACTCACATCTTCAACATCGTTAGTGTTTGAGATATACGTTATCATAAAACAAAATACTATGTGTGAACCAATAACATTCAGCATGATGAAAACTCGAACTCCTTGGATTGCTTTTAGTTTGGTATAATCTTCATTTCCTTCAGTCTTACATATTTTCCTCCAATTTGAAGTTAATGATAGCGATGTTATAACCTTATCCTCTGAAAAATAGTACAATAATAACCATCACCCAATTTTAGGAAAAAATCTAAAATCTCCTTAAATTACAAAGGAAAATAAAGATCATTAAGGCACGATATTTTGACTCCTGCTATCCACAATCAATTGCTATGAACACCCTATAGAATTTTATCAAGTCACAAGGGTCCTGGTTTGAATTATAGTGAAAAACTTACTAGTGCATCCTGTTACACCTGTCTTCTTCTGTTTATCCTTTATGGTTGCATATACAATTAAACACATATATGCTGTGAAAGTTAATCTAAAAAAAGTTATTGTTACTTTGGCAAAATATTAATGTAAATATGAAGCGAGCCCTATGCTTCTAATAGTTTTTTGTCCTTTTAAAAAACTTACATTACTAATTTGTCATATAGGGACAATTTAACTTTATCTTCTTCAATACATACGACGTATTCTACCAACGCAAGTAAATTTGTTCCATTAAATTCTTTCTCAACGTGCAATTGAGAAAAATACCTAGTCGACTCCAAATTAACAGTTTCATTCTTTGGGAGGCATATAGCCCTATGAACGAAACTTCGATCATAATTGTGTCTACCATTGGCAGAATCCTAGAATAGGTACGTATATTATACAGTACGGGTATTTTATTGTAAAAATCAGAGTTTAAGTTTTCCTAACTTTCTATTTCTTTCCTTTTTTCTTGTATTTCTATTAATTCCAAACTTTACCCTTTCTTAAAATTTAATAATAACCTGTAGTTCCACATTACTGAACAATTTTGTTTACTGAGAAAGTAATTGGAATATTTCCTTAATTAAATTTACAAACAAAAATTAATATTAACTTGAGTATAACATTTAAATTTCTTTCTAAGTACTATAGGTAGGTATACCTAGACAATGGAAAATAAAATATATTTCAAGCAGTGAAAAAAAGTTACGTACATAAACATGAATGAATATTTATTAAAACTAAAACATTAAAATTTTATGTTTTTTTTACCAACTGAAAAATAATAATTAATATGTATAGAAAGCTAGGAAAGGACAATTATAAATATCAGAAAAAATCCTAATTTACCTTTATCAAGTTCCACAATTGGTTATTCTCATTTCCGTTGTTCAATAATCTTATATCTACTTTACAATACGAATCATTCTTTTCCATACAGGTCCTGTAATCCTCCATTTTATAGATGGGTGGCAAAATGTTATACTTATCTGAAATATACCAAATAATAATAGAGATTTACGTCTAGTGTTCCTTATGTTTCTAGTCTCAATATGATAAACAGAAATATGGACCGGCGCACAATGATCGGATATCCGTAAAAGCTGGACAAAAGTCCAAAAAGGTTTGAATCATCAAGGGAATCTTTATGTTTTTCAGGTCGTTAAAACCGAATTTGCAGTAAAAAATCTCAAATTTAAAATGGCTGACACAAAATAGTCGATATGTCACGTTAATTTATTGAATCTAGGTAATATCTGGTCGATAGCCGCACGGTTTAAGGCGTCAGTACTTAAATCGATGTGTCTAACTGCCCGGGTTTCGAATCCCGCGGCCAGTGACCGTAGATTATCTATACT